ATAAATCAAACATTAAGTTAGGCATTAGGGGAGCGCGCGCTTATGATAATTTATATTGGTACACGCTCTGCTCTGCTCTCCGTGTTCTGTGTGCGCGTGTAATATGCGAAATTAGCACGCGCCACATGGCTTGGGCCTGCCGCGAACTCCTCGACCATAGAAAGCGGCCGGCCATTCAGATTGAGTGAAACCGGCCCCGATTAATTATTGATATTCGGGGCCGCCGGCCGCACACTCGCCGAGCCAAATCAAATGACGAGAGAGATGAAACCCTCATCTCAACATGTCATCAGTCAAACTTTGCACAGTGCAAGAGAGATTATTGCTCAAGCACAAATTCAGGTGACGGCTGGTTTGATCGGCCAAATTAATTCCGGCGTTCATTGTTGTAAAGTAAATTTGGATCAATGAAAGATATTTTCTGTGTTTTTCTATTTTATTTTCATGGTCTTTCATTAAACTTGTTATAAAATTAAAAATTTTACAACCCAAACAATCATATTATTGAATATTCTCATAAAATGGCATTTGATTTTACAATTTAAACTTAATTTATTTGTTGAATTAATATTAATTTGCGATACATATTGACGTGGTTACACACAGGAACATAGAAGAAACGACTTTTTAAAGTAGTTTCTTCAAGTGTGCAAGGTTATAAATATCTTATTATACTATTTAATTTTCAAATATTCTGTCAAAGAGCATTATTATTTATATGAAACTAATAAACACTTAATATATAGTTATTATAATAAAAATATAAAATGCTAGCATAAATAAATACTACGATTATTAACATTTTTTAAATTTATATAGCTTTTTAATCTTAAAATAGCTCGTTTTTTAACATAAGCTAATTTTTGTTTATAATCACTTAAATTAATAGATCTTTACAATAATTTATTAGAGTGTTCAGATGAGAGGTTCTGAAGCGTCTAAAAGCTGTTTAGTGGGCGCAAATATTTGCAGAACAACAATAAAATATTGAAAATTTGTTTGTAGAAGTTTACACTCAACGAGATGATCATGGAAATGAAGAAAGTCGGGCTTGTCCTCGTTGTTGTTCTAAAAAAAAACGGCTCTTTGTTTTATTTCTGAATAAAAACATTATTTTGCAACGAGGACAAGCCCGATTTTCTTAATTTTCTAATAATGAAAATATTTACGATTAATATTTTTCTCATTTATGCGTTCATTGACGACTTTTGTATGTTTTATTGGTACTTTGTGAACTATAAAGTACAAAAAAAGGTTAAATTTATTATTTAATAAAAAAGCTGTTCAAAAACGTAATTTTGTCATATTGAAAACTCATCACTCTACTGATACGAAATTTTTATAGAACTTTTACCTCTACACTGACCTGATCTTAAAGGAATGAAAAAAAAAAATTACATGTATAGAAAAGCTCAATACTTAAAATTATTTGATCATAATAATGAATTTCAGAAATGAATTTGCTTAAATAAATTAAGTATCTTGACGTAATACTGAATTAATTCATGCAAGAACTTTTAAAAAAGTGCAGTAATTGCTAGAAAACAAATTAATTCAAGTTTGCGTGCCAATAATTCAAATCACTCGATGGTAATTTCTGAAATTAGCTGCGCGTGCAGAAATGAGAACTCTCCAATCTTATCTGCATTACAAAAGAATGAAAATTTATACACACACACTCTAGCAAAAGTGCAGCGGCAACGAATATAAAAAAAAATCCAGGGGTTGCGCTCGCTTGCGGACAAATAAAAAGTTCCGGGAGCGAATAAATCCTGATTGGCCACAGGAATAATAATTTATCGGAGCGTGCCGAATGGAAAAATAGCTGACGGTGGTGCCGAGAAGAGAGAGAACGCGGCTGCATTTTTGTTTAATTACTTTCGCCTCCGTGTTCGACGCGCTGCTGGCGGGGGATGAAAAAATAATGGGAATCGCCAAGTCTGGGCACGTCACCGGTAATAAGGGCGTAAAACCCTCGCCCTTAAAAAGATGCCAATTGTAATGAGAATAAATCGCTCGGCCAGAGCGAAAAACTTCCGCAGCCGGTTTTCCACTTCTGCCCGAGAGTCAATCTTACAAATTACTCTCGCCGAATCAGAAAAGCAACCAACCGCGTGAGGCTCTCTTTTAAATTAGATTCCGCTAATATTGATAAATCTCGACCCGACGCGTGCACTTGTCCAATAAATTTTTGTTTTGTATGTTAATTAATTAATGTGCCTGCCGCAGGTCTTATCGCACGGGGAGCGGCCCAAATGCTGTTTTAAAAAAGTATCATTACGTTGAAATAGTTTCTCAGATGGCTTCAGAAAAAATATTTATGCGTCTATGTTGAGATCAATTATTAAATATCAATTAATTACGAGCGCACACTCCATGGTTATCAAAAACTGATTTATTTTACAGCGAAAAACTTTTTGAAAAAGTTCCGTATTTTTTGATTATTTATTTACTTTGAAAAATATAGAAATAAATCTTTGTTTTTGAGATATTGATAAAATTCAAGATAAATTTAAATACTAAAATAAATTTAATACTTGTATAAAACTATACAAAAAAATTATTTTTATAATTTAATCTTTGTTTAATAAATGAATTGTTAAAAGTCTTTAAATTATGAAGTATTAAATTTTTTAAATGTTATAATTATTGAGGTATTAATATTAATAAATATTGTTATTAATAACGAGATAGAGTAACATGAGTTGTAAAATCATATCATGAAGCAGCATATTTTAATATTAAATTAAATGATAAAACATAATTGGAAAAGTCAAACTATTTCCTCTTATTTCTGTATTCACTAAATCTCAAAAATGTATCTTCAGAACTGATGCAGATTTGAATTGTTTTATTTTTTACAAAATTCATTTTACACTGAAACTCTAATAATTTCTAATTGTAATTACGTTTCCTCGCATTTCCTCATTCACTTGCTTTCACGAGCACAATCGAATCTGGCCTTTTCCTCATGAAAATGTGAAGCGAGGCATTAAAAAATGCGAGTTTTTTGTTATTAGCAGTGCAGGGAGTCGGCTGAGCATTTGGCTCCGAAAAATCCTGACCGTACAAATGTAAGCGAAAAATTAACTTTTGAATCATAATAATAATAAAAAAAAAAATACACGCACGTACCATAAATATGATTTTTGCCAGGCAAGCTTTCTCTTTGGCGCTGGAGGGAAATGGCGAAAAATCACATTTGCGTGAAAAAAAACGCCGTGTTTTCTCTGCACCGCTAATTTTTTATTACATTCGGATAAAAATGAGTTAGACCGAGCGGACGGACGCACTCTCAGCAGGATTTTATACACATTTTTTTTAAATGTGCATAGCTTAATTCGTAGATGGACTGGCATGTATTAATATACGCAATGTTCATTTTATATTTCGCATCAAATCCAACCCCTGCCTGCGAGCGCAATCATGAGATTAAACATTTCGTATATTTTAATTCCGTACACATATATTCACGGGCGGATGCCTTTTTTAAATCCTTTCCGCGCTAATGTAATTCTCTCTCTCTGGCTGCCGGTTCGGCATTATTTTTCAAAAATTAATCCATTCTGGGGTTTGTCAAATGGAATTGCTGGTGCCCGGCGAAATGTCGCGCCGTCCAATTTTCGTTATCGCAATTACCGTTAATATCCAATTTTTCGAGCATTTTTACAACCGCGGCGCTCTTCGCTGAAGTGCTTTTATGTGAGAGAGAGCCAGGAATGTATACGGTTATTTCGACGTTTGCAATTACTGCGACATTAGACTGCCGGAATTATCGCACAGAATTAATAGACACAGAATGAGAAATTATTCTGATTGTGTATAAAAGTGGGATTTTTTTAAACACCGTTTCTAATTCGCATGGAATTGCGAACTGAGCGCCGAAATAAAAATTGGCTGTCATGAACTGAGACCTCGGAAAGCCAAAGTTTTAGCAGTTTCCGCAGCATTTATATATTAAACTTGTGAATTAAAAGTTATAACAAGTAACATTCTTGAAATTAAAAGATTTAAGATTCTAAAATACCAAAAAAACAGATTATTATTTACTTTTAAACGGATTAACAAGAAAACTTTTTAGTAGAATTTAAAACCCAAGGAAACCACTCGTAACGGGAAAAAATTCAATTAAAGTACTAATCGCCCTGACGTGGAATTACTTTCCAAGACGCGAAATTGTACACAATTTTGTTTAATAAACAAAATAAATATTTAAAAAAAAATGCATCATTTAATTCTGCATTTTTGTCCAACAATTCAATGTTTCCTTACGTCATTTCATAAATTTATCAATGGTCAAATAAACAATAAATAAATATTTCTAGCAACGTTATCGTGGTCAAGGTTCAAGGTAGAATTGTTTGTAAAGCCCACTTTATTTAGTTTGGTTTCCCTAATAAACTTAATTGATTTGAGATAATTTTCTACGTGTATTCAAATAGCAGAAAAATAATATAATCGAAAAAAGTTTAGAAAAGACACTAGACATTAATTTTCAAATACATATTTTCAAATTCACACATTTTGCCTTTAATTTCGACAGAATTAATTGCTATTGGAATTATTGGATATTTTCAGGTTTTTATTCCAATTTTAAATTGTAATATTCGTGACATAATTTCAAAATCTTGGAAGCAGAAAAAATTGCAATAAAAAAAAATTTGCAAGCTTCTCAGCAACCCCGAAACCGATTCATTTGATCAATCCCTTTTTTCAATTCTGTCCTTTAAAAAAACCCATGTGACACTGCTATCCCTTAATTACCGCGGGCCAGGTGATAATTGCACGGCATGCTCGGTGCGTGGAGATAATTCCATTTTCGCTTCTCTCTCGGATCCGATGATGGATCGCTCGAATATATTGAACGCATAAAAAGGCAGGCGCGCGCTCCTTATGCGGGTTCATTAAATCGAAATTGTGCCGCCGCCGCCCTGGAGGGCGAGCAGGTGCAATCAAACCGATCGCGGTTTTCATTAATTTATCTCCATTCGTGTTTGCAGGCCCAAGATGTGGAGAGCGGCAGTGCGGCCTCCTCGCCCAGACACCCGATGCCCGCCGAGCCCCCGTGCAGTCCGCCCCTCACCCCGCAAGTCCCGAATTTCGCGGGACTCAACGGCGACTTCGACGCCGCCAAACTGGCCGCCGCCGTCGCAGCTCAGGCGCACCTCAATGGAACAGGTAAAAATACATTAAATTTTTAATTTAACGTTTATTATATTTACAAATGTTTTTATATTTAATTTTTTGTTCATTAATTGATATAATTTTATTGTTGTAATAATTATGATTTTTAATCAATTTCACAATTTACTAAATTAAATAATTTTAATTATTTATGTTTCAATTTTACTATTATTAAAAATTTATTATTTAGTGCTTTAATAATGTTGATAATAAAATATTATAAATTTACTTTCCAACGATGCATAAATCTTTATCTTAAAATATCTTTACTCACACTTACAATGTGGTCAATTGCATTTTATATTAACTTTAAATTCGAGTCCGTCGTTCATTAAAGTGATTAAAGAAATCCTTGAAAATTATGACATCCTAAATAGAAGGTTGGTTGCCTGGTGTGCCTGAATATGTACATACCTGTTTCTATTAAAGAAGGAAAAAAATCAAAAATAGAGTTAAAAATTTTTCTTTTAAATTCCCATAAACAAAACTACCTGTAAGGAAGCAAAGATTTAAAAAAAAAAAAAGACGAAACTATTGATGAATAGCAAGAAAAATAAATTCTGATTGTGAGATGCTTTTAAAAATATTTTGTTTGAAAATTTTATTGTAAAAGCAAAATTCCAGCCGCCTAAAAACAAGGTGATTAAACAGTTTTCAAATATTCCAAAATTAAATTACCAAAGCGCGTCTGAATCTTTCTATTTGGGAACATTATAAAAATTTCCATTAGCAAAATTTGGATAAAATTATCCTTGTTAAATTAAAGCATTATCGAGGTTCCTACAGAGTGCTGTAATAAATTTTATACATTTTTTTATAAAATGATTTGTCGGTTTTTAGTTCACTTTGCGGGAAATTTTTTTTTTATATTTTATCTGTTGAATCACATTAAAATAACATGGATATTCATAATATTTTCTTTCATGTTTGCTGTTTTCCAAAATCAACGAGATATTATTTTGCTTTAAAACAAGCATAAGTAAAAAAGGCTTTTGCAATTATTATAACTTACTCGACGATTCTAAGATTGTAATTAACATAATTAATCCACTTATGAATATGATCAAATATGAGAAATTTGAAATTTTTAATTATTGTGTCCTATAGATGAATCATTACGAAATATCATTTTAGTGGCTAGTTTTGCCAATCTGCAAAACCTGGCCGGTCTGCAGTCCTCGCTGGCGAACGCACCCCTCAACCTGACCATGGGCTCGGCGCAACACCAAAGCAGCTCACAATCTCACCAACAACCAGTCTCGATGCCACAGCTGATCCTGGCCTCAGGGCAGCTTGTTCAGGGCATCCAGGGCGCGCAACTTCTCATCCCTACCTCACAAGGTAAATCGAAAAATATTTCTTTGTTGATTGAATTGAAATTTTACTATAAAAATTTGAAATTTTCAGGTTTGGCGACGCAAACCATTTTAGCCATACCCGTCAGTCAGTCTACAGGCAGCCCATTGATTTCGTCATTGGTGAACAGCCAATCACCCTTGCAGAACTTGACTCAGCCCTTGCAGATGGCATCAGGAGCAGGGGGTAAGCTGAACCAAATTTTATTGAATTATTTGATTATTTTTAAATCATATATGAATTAATGGACCATAATATTCAAGCGTATTGCAAGATAAAATAAAAATTCATTTTAAATTTCACATAAATTGATAAGTTATTGAATTATTGAAATTAAACCTTTGATTTCAAATTCAATTATAAACTAATGCAATCAGTTGTTATTATAAATCATAAAATTCAGGTGATAAATAATTACTTATTTTCATCAGTTGTGCTTATTGAAATATTTTTCTTTTTCTTTTAATATTCCAACCTCATTTATTCATTTCATTAAATGATTAAATTGGCAATTAAATTTTTCGTATCTGAATTCAAATATTCTATCAAACTATTTATGTCATAAAAAAAATGCAATTGGAGTGAAAAATTTTCCATTCGTATAAACTTTTGTGCAAACTTTCTAAAGGTAGGCTCGATGCGAATAAACACAGGCAAGCTTTCAAACAAATATAGACAAAAATATTAAAGGATTTTGATTGGAAATGTACACAGTCTGAGCTTGTAAATAAAATTCACTTTTGGTCCTCGTTTGGCAACCAGTGTATTGTTTTTTTTTTTTTTGTTTTTTTTTTAATAAGGTGGAAATTTACAATACAAATTGGTATGCTGAAAAAATTGAGTTATAAATCGGAAGAATGTCAATTAATGTCGCAGAATGGGGAGGCTCAGTGCCGCACTAATTGCAATTGCTAACACGCTACTTTCTTCTGCGCTAGAAAACCTTCCATCACTTGATTGGACCCTCCACAAATAAAAATTCCAGAATTTAAATAATCTAAATAACCCATAGAACCCATTTTCAAAAGAATTAAAACGCACGGCTATTGTAAAATTACATCAACTTATAAGGATAATGAATGCAATGTTTATATATTTAATATGTGGATTTTTAAAATATTAAATAATAATAAACGTGCACGTTAAATAAAAAAAAAATAACAAAAACACACTTTTAAATTTAATAATTTTATATTGTTAAATATATATTATATTAAAAAAATTAATAAATAGAAAACAATTTGTTAAGGATTTAAAATTTAAAAATAAGACTTGAAAAAAAATAACAATAAAAATTATTCTTTCTTTTGTAAATTAACTACATATTTCAATGTTGTGTTATATAATTAAAGACAAACGTCTCCTGCGTAAAGTGAGAAACGCATTTTTAAAATTTACATAGTTTGAAGCAATTCTTCCGTTGTGATTCAGGACAGTTTTTTTTAACAAATCCATTTAATACAAATTATAAATTACAGCGCTTGTGATTTTAAAATAATTTCAGTATTAATGAACAATTTTTTGCCATTCGTATCAAGTTATATCGCTAGTTACTGACAAACTTGCCATACATACTGCATTGCTGGAAAGAAGGGTTATTGACGTGGCGCAATTAAAAGTTGAATGCACGTTTCGCAATCGTGTCTGCGACCCATTGTGCTGAGAGAGAGAGAGAGTAACAAACTCAACACCATTACAACTGGCATCAGCGGCCATTTTTATTGTCACTTCATTATAATATGCGCATTAAATATTTGAGGGAGGGCAAATTATCGTGCACGAACTAGTCTCGTAATAAACATAATTCCACGATAGCTAATTTTCGCCACGATTATACAATACGACACGATATGCAATTGAACTCGTTTTATAATATGGCAATAACACATCACGCAATACCAAAATAAATTCACATCCCCCTCTTTAGCATTTCTCCTCACAATGAAAATATACAATTTAAACGCGACTGCGCCACTATTTTTTACATCCTCAAATTATCCTGTTGTGCTGCTGCTGGTGGCGGCAAAGCTAAAAAGGGGGTAATTAATTTTATCTTTAGCGCGGCGCGTTTTGGCGCCGAGAGGTTGGAAGCAATGGTGTGTTGTTTACTTGGTGAACACGAAATTTAACGAGGTCGAAATACTTCTTCTTCTTCTTCTTAACGGTAGTGAAATGAAGACATTCTTTACTTTCAAATTAATGGTGCTAATGTTTCGAGGGAAATGCAACAAAAAAACAGGCACTGTATGCGTGATAAAGGCAACATTGAGTTATATTTTGAACGTTTTTAATATTTTATTTTCCTCTTTTTATAGAGGCATGGTTAAATTCAGCTCAAATTAAAGTAAATTAAATAATTATATTTTTTAAATATTATAAAATACATGTTTTTAACACTTTTCGTAATTATTTTTACGATTTTATGTTATTTTTCAATTTTGCCTTTTTTAACATTATTATTTTAAATATCATAAAACAGGTTTTCAGTATCTTTCAAAATTTGACGTCTTTAATTTATAATTGTTTTATTTTAATGAAATATTTATGGATATTTTTAATGTTTTTTCAGTGTAATTCACTGATATTTGTTTGAAAATTTTTAATTAATTATGAGAGAGTGCCGGAAGGAAAGTCATGCAAATAATTTTCGTCTGAAAAGTGTAATGATCGTGATCGCATTATATTTTCCAACTACGAAAGAGCTGCTTCATAAATTTTATGGTGATTAAGAACACGGCTAGAATTACGGCACAGTATCTCGCATGCAAATCAAAAATACGTTCGTTTGCTGTGCTGTTCAGTATAATAATTGCATATAAAGATGATTACGTGATAATATGGTGGCGCCACGGCAGCTGATCTTTTTTGCCCTGTCGTACATATAAACAACGGCACTACTTTCCCGACGTCATACACGTGTTTAATGAGTTTTCCAGCTCCACGTTTAATGTGAAATGCACCGCCCTAGTGTGTACCTTTTTTGTTTCTGATGGATTCGTTAATCCACTCACAAACCAGCCTGCTAATGAAAAAAGTTTGCTCATTTTCAATCATGCAATTTTGATCGTACTCGCCGAGAGCCGCCTTGCTCGTTGAGAGAAATTTTAGATAAATATCGGCGAAAGCTTGTCAAAATGTGAAAGGCCGTTGCAAATAATGCAAACCGGCCGAGAGTGCCGAAAGCAAATTGAAAAGGAAAAATAAGCATGCACTTTGTCAGAACTATTGGCATTGAAATCAATTTAAAAAATAATCTCGAAGCTCAAGGAAATTAGTTCACTTATTCTATTATTTATGAAATTCAAAAAGATATTGATCTAAATTACACTAGTTTTCAGTGATTTTTTTTAATTAAAATTTACAGTTTGGATAAATAAATTAAAAAAACAACACTATTTAAGAACAGCTTTTTTATGGCCTCAATAGAAAATAATATTTGCTAATTTTTTTAATTTAGTAGTAAAATATTTAATTGCTTCCAAAAGGAACTTGATTTTTACGTTTGATTCATCCAAATTTAGGAACAAATGTAAATTTTTGCCAATTACTTTTTTCTAGGCTCATCGAGTCCGCCCCTGAGTAGTCTGGGCCTGAGCTCGCAGCACCTCCTCAACTCGGCGCCTTCGGCCCTCGGCCTGCCACCGCAAATGCTGCAGCAGCCCTTGATGGCGCCGTCGACCGCGTCCTCCAACAACAGCCCCTCAGTCTCCAATCAGTCAGTGAGCAGAGGTTCGGTGTCGCCGCCCAGTCACAGGACTCACCCGTACTCGGTACAAATTTTTATTTTTCATCAATAGAAGAAAAGTTATGCTCTTAATTGAATTTGCAGATACCAGAAAAGCATCCGAACGGTGCAATGAATGGAGCTTCGATGAACACAATCAGCCGCCTGGCCAGCGCTACTGGCCTCACAGTCACGCCTACGCAAAGTAGAGGTGAGTCGATAATGTTAAAAAATAGTTGAGTATGCAACCTGCATGACTTGTTAGCAGTGCAGGTTGCCTTTAAAGTTAAGTAGCAGAACTGTTTTGCAACTTAACATAATATTAAGAACTTAAATTATGTAATCTATTTATATCTCAATTTTAACAATATTTTTATTTAATTATTAAATATTAACTGCAATTTTTATTCATTTTTAATTTTTTATCATTATATAATATTATAATATTAAAAAAGATTAATTAAGTTTTCATTTATTTTTAATATATTGTTATTATAAATTATAATACAATAAATTAAGTCGTTCCAACACAGAGAATTAACTCTCATTATTGAAAAACTTCTTAGCAAAGGTTAGTTGGATTTTTTCAAATGACAAAATTTTAAACTGTATCTATGCATTAAAATTGAATAGTAAAATAATTGAAAAAAAAATTGATGCTTGCTTAAATGCAACTCTTTATATAAATTTATTTTCAATCTGAAAGCTTTTGTTTTGCTTTTCAGCTCACTCTGTCTCATCTCACCACAAATCAAGCCCCCACTCAGCTCAGCAGACACAACTTCCGCCTCACAACCACCATACCTCGTCGCACCAGAACGGCAGTCTCAGTCCCGGCGCCCTCAGCCCCTCGGCACTCGACCCCCTGAATGACATGAGTAGGTTTTCAAATTGACCAAAGCGATCGCACCTTCCTTCATTTAAAAAAGGTCACTTTGATGACATTCCAGGTCAACCGACCATCAACCAGGCGACTGGAAACGTGGTCGACGGAATCAACTTGGACGAAATCAAAGAATTCGCCAAGGCGTTCAAACTGCGCCGGTTGTCCCTGGGCCTGACGCAGACGCAGGTCGGCCAGGCCCTGAGCGTGACTGAGGGACCTGCCTACAGTCAGAGTGCAATTTGCAGGTATTCAATTAATTGTCTGTGTTTCTTTTTATTGATTTTGAGACTGCATTTTCAACCGAAGCTTGTCAAAAAGCTGTCTTTTTATTATTTCATACAAAATGTGTTTGTAAAAATAACAACACTGTGTGCGACTCTGATAAGATTTTGAAACAAGAATAGTGTAGAAATTCTTTATCAGGGTTGTCCAAAATTTACTTTTAATTTTCAGTGTTTTAATTTGGATTATCAACAACTTTTTTATTAAGAGTTAAATTTTGAATTGTTTTGGCCAATATCATATAATATTATTTTATTGTCAGTGTGTTGTTGCAATGTGTTTGGTTTTTTTCCATTAACAAATTCTGGAGTTTCCTTTATTCTCTTGTGTAAACACAGTCAGTACAAAGCAAAGGGCAACTTTATAGTTTTTGACTGCAAGATGTAAAAATTTTGCATTAAAGTAAGTATGCAACCATCTGTGCCTCAATATTTTCATACCCAATTAACTTTTCATTGTACTCAAAGTAGCTGGGAACAAAACAATAAATTCACTTCTTTTTTATTCTGTCCCCTGAAGTCATAAAACAAAAAGAAAATCAATCGCAGTACGAAAAATAACTAAAGTTGCCCTTTCAAATTAATTTCTCTGATGATCAATAGAGTAATTGTTGGTTGTTCTTTTCTTCCCAGTGCCCTGGCTACTCAGATGTACTGTACTGCTGCTCAGATTGCGTCCCAGCAACAAGCTATGTAGGTGATGTTTTTATTTTTCAGCATTATTCTTTTGCATTTTTACTTTCGAGAGGGAAAATTACGAACGATCCGCTTTTCCGCCTCGGCAGCAAATTATTATCTCATAGCTTTCCAAACTTTTACTTTCCAATTTCTTCCGAGCACTCTATATCACTTCAGAAAGAAAATCAGATTTTCGTAATGCAGCACCAGTGTCATGGTTTTATATCTAATTGAGTATTAAATTTCAAGAGAAGAACATTTCAGCCAGGGCATTGGTTGTTATAGAAAATTATTACCAAAAATGAGAATTTCAACCAGCATTTCACTTAAAACAGAGCTTGGCACGTTTGCATGAACCAAAAGTTATAAAAATTAAAAAAAAAATGTAAATGTTTTTATGCATGGCGAACTGTTTGTTGTGCGCTTTGTATGATTTAAACTTGATATTTCTTGATTGATGGAAAACATTTTTTTTCGCTGATCATTCTGCAATTTGGTTTGTGGCAGGTTTGAAAAACTCGACATCACCCCAAAGAGTGCTCAGAAAATAAAACCTGTGCTGGAGAGGTGGATGAAGGAAGCTGAAGAAAGGTTGGCAGAAATTTTTTACTCTTTTCGATTGAAATGAATTAATTCCGAATTTGGTCTAATTTTCAAAAGTAATTACAGGTACAAAAGCGGTCACAATCAATTGACAGAGTTTATCGGCGTCGAGCCGTCGAAAAAGAGGAAGAGAAGAACTTCTTTCACACCGCAGGCTTTAGAAATACTGAATGTTCATTTCGAGAGGAACACACATCCCTCAGGTAATTGAATTTTGAAATTTCTCATCATTTTAATAAACAATAAAATTTAAAATTTCAGGGGCTGAAATCACAGCTCTGGCGCAACAGTTGGGTTACGAGCGAGAAGTGATACGAATTTGGTTCTGCAACAAGAGACAGGCGTTGAAGAACACGGTTCGCATGATGTCCAAGGGGGTTGTTTAATGCCGAGGCGACCCAGTTCAAGGGACCAAAACGATTAAAGTTGTGGCGGAAAATTACACAAAACACTCGGCGTCGACGTAAGAGATAAATCGTGTGCTTAGAAGAGAGAGACAATCAATGTGCATCAAGAAAACCCAGTGGTGAATCAAGAAGAAGCAACAACAAATTATATTAAACGTAATTCTAGAGACTATTGATATTCAGACAAGATGTAATTATTAATAAATTATCGATTCATGTCTCAAAGGCATCAATTACACAACTCTAGCAGAAAATAAATCATATTTGAAGAGCATTTAACGCAGCGCATTTTTCTTAACTATCACGATATTTAAAAGAAAAGGTGTCTATATTATGTTTAAATTAAAAAAAAAAAAAAAAATATGTAGGTTGTCTGCAGGATAATTATATCACTCGATAAAGAGTTTATCCCTTCTAATAGAATTTTAACATGTCTGATTTTGGCTTGCAGATGGAAATAAGAAATAAATTTACTCTTTAAATTTGCACTATTGATTTGATTGGTGTAACATCAAACCATTTTAAAAATTTAAATAACATTTCCTCGGCGCCATCAATCAAAGTTCCTATTATAAATTGTACAGACTTATATTCTTATATTTCGTAAAATTTGATGTTAGTAACTCGTTAGGATAGTCATATGTGTGATTTTAACTGTAAAAAAAGCAAAGACGCAATTCCAAATTGTTTCCGCCTGTGAATATTATTTGAAAATAAAATACATTGTCTCCAAGACGTAATCAGGCAAATATACTAAATGATGATTACTTGGATCACAACTCGACGTTTATTTGATATTAAATTATCCATTTTTTCATTAGAGTTCAGAGAAGTGCAGATATTTGTTGCTTGAAAATCGCTGGAAATTTTTTATGGCGAGTTATGGTGGCACCACGGCGTGCCGAATGAGGCGATCAGGATGATTGACATCGATTAGCATCATCGCATGGCCGCTCTGAAAGCGCAGCGCTACAATTGCATTTTAATGAGTTTGATCAAAATTGCATAAAGAAATTATATTTTTTTAACTAATAAAAATAATAAAATTGAAGTATCTAAAAAAAATAAACAAAATAAACAAAAATTGCTTGAAATAAAAATGTGTTCAAATACACATTTCTATTAAACTTAAAATTCTTTTTTAATATTTTCAAATACTGCAAATAATTTTATATGTATCCTGATAGTTATTTAAATTTAACAGTTTTTTTTATTTTAAATGTTAGTTTTAACTCATAAAAGATTATTATGCCACAGATACTTCCACAATGGCATTATGCGACAGCAAGAATAAGGAGCTATCAAAATTTCTGGAATAACATTCCTAATTTCTAAATAGCCTGATGTGAAATTTAAACTACACATTTAACATGCAACAATAGGAATTTTAAAATTTGCAGCAACAATCTAAATTAAATTTTGCAATTTTTATTTCAACACAGACCTCCAATTTAATAAAAAGCATGCTTAAAATAAAAAATTATTTAATAAAGAAAACTGATTCAAAATAGCAAATCAATGTTTCTGAAAATTTTACAGTCTATACGCAAAATGCGGTGAAAATTCCATTAAATCAGAGTACTTGAAGACCCACAATGAATTGCATAAATTGGCAGAAAACAAATTAATAAATAAAGAATAAAATATTTCCAGGCTCAAGGGAAAAATTTTTCCATCTCACGGCCCGCCCTGGCCGCCCTTCTCACAAGTGAATCAGGGTGTCAGCCAGGAAATCCAGCATCCGACTAAGGTTGAAGTTTTTTGCCCCCACCCTTTTAACAACGACCCTGTGGCTACCTGTACGGCGGGCTCTGTGAAGGGTTCTTGAAGCCTTCAAAGACATACCGGCCACGACAAGCGCATACACCTGCATGCCCCGGGGCCCGGAGGATGCTTCCAGATGCAAGGAGGGTTGTTCACAGACATGTAACGCCCTGATCTCCGCCCGCAAGCAAAATAGAGGGGCGCCCACAGCAGGAGCTCACTCTTCTTCATCTTCTTCTGCGACTCGTAGGGAACACATCCCGAGAAAGAACACTGACAGGTTGTTATGGCTAAGCAAAGTGAAGAGGAGTTGGTAAGAGACTAGCCAGTCTCCAAGGTCGAGAAGCACCTGGGCCGAGCGGTTCACCCCTCGAGAGCCCACCGAAGCCATTTCCAAGCTAGGGATGAAATCTTTGTGATAAAATCTGTGAATATAAAATTTTTAGTTTATGAATGAAGAGAAAGACACCAGGCTCCTTGCATTTGCAAAAACCCAAAGAGCCTCTCGTTTCGTTCGGTAAATTCGGCAACCGAAGACGCTGCGAGTGTCTTTGCTTGGGCGAGCAAGGTTTCACTCGTAATTCACTCCGAGGAGTGAAGACGTCCATCAGGTGAGTCTGGAGTTGCTTCACTGGCGAAGTGTCCTTTGAAGTCTCGTTCCGAGGCTGAAAGAGAGAGAAGAAAGGTGACAACAAAGAAATAAGTTCTATTTCCACAGCCACTTATCTGACAAGATTAGAAACTAGCAGATTTGCGACCCAGCGGCACGGAAGTCGTGTCCAACGCTTGCGGCATTGCTTCCTCTATGTAGACCCTAGCGAGATTTGTCCAAGGGCCAGTGTGCACCGTGTCTTTTGTTGAAAGTCAAGTATATAATTACATAATTTAAAAAAGTCTTTCAAGAATTAAATCTATTATTCTCACCATCAAATTCCGAGGAATGTATTTTCTTTAAAGACTCCTTTTAGCACTATGTATAAACATAAAATATATATTCATGTAATAAAATATTAATTTTTTAATTATGTGCCAAGGTTAATTTGAGTTTTCACAGTTAATGTAAAAATTAAGATTTCATGAATAGAATTAAAATAATGAGCTGGTCAGAAAATATTTTTAACATTGCCATAGAATTTTTATTGATTACTTAAAAATATTTTTTACAATTCATTTATCAAAATGAGGGTTCACAATCGATCGTTTTATTAACTTTGGAATTAACTTCAACTCACCTCAAAAGATAAAAGTTTTCCAATCCTCTCTTTTCCTGGCATGAGTTTATATTCAGATCCTTCCAGTCTTTGATATACATATAATCAAGTTGCTGCAATATAATACAGGACTGATCTGTAATATTAACAAATAACATGATTAAAATTATGTTCCTTGAGATTTTTATAACCACGTTCACGTTACGAAAATTATAATTATTATTAAGGGATAGAATGAATAGAATAAGTAATACCTTGATATGTATATGTAATTAGTTTTGAGCAGAAGTTGCATAGTCCCCAGTCCCTGTCTGGGCGACGAAAGCATGCTTTTGTGTCTTGGCCGTCTTGGGTGCTTTTATACGAAGTGGCCGAATGAGGGCCGCAGGACGAATTCCTTAATCAAACACCTGTATATTTGAAGTCATTTCGCCCGAATTTCCACAACACTTACAGAGCGGTTGCCAATTTAGGAACTTTGGCCTCACTTTTGTGAATAAAAACGTCAAATGTGTGACACAAAAATTCCCAACCAGAACCAGACCAGATCACAAAACACGGCATCTCTTTTTTCGTCCTTTTCTCTTGTTGATGGCAATTACGTCGGCCGCACCAAATCAAAACAACCACCAAACCAATCACCAAACTAAGGATATAAAGGAAAATACGGAGAGACAGGAGAGTGCGTGAAAGGTATCTTTTTTACTATAATCGCCTCGTTGATCAGGTGCGCGCTACCCAAATTACACAACTGCGCACAATTCTCTTGAGAAATAATTACTTTCAGAACATTTTGTCGTAAAAGCTCTAGCTTGAACTCTAGCGGTGAACTAATAAATTAATAAGTCTTGGATGATCATTGGTTTACTAGAGGGCACTAGAGGGAATATCGCATGACGGGTTACGAAAAAGGCGGGAAAAGGACAACAAAAAAGCACTGTTTATTATCGCGTCACCCATCTTCGAGCAATGCGGCTCCCCAGGCGTAGATTATGGCTGGGCTGGCTGGAAATTCCAGGGGCCCTTTCGCCCAAGTATGAATGATATTTCAGTGGGTGACAAAAAAATTGAAATATTCTCGCTCCTCTCGCAATCATTTTTATAATGGAAATTTAAAAAAAAATCATTCAAACTTGGACTGATCGAGAGGGTCCTTTTGGGGCCCGGGGCACACTTATTTAAAAATCCTAAACAGACCATTCTGATCATTTCTAGCTACTTTTTCCGAAAGCTTTTTTTACACCCTCCCCCCGGTTTGAACTTTGCCTCGGAACAAAAATTTTCATATTTTTTGGCGACCTTATAAAAATCCCGAACAGATCATTTTGATCATTTCTGGCTACTTTTTCGGAAAGCATTTTTACACCCTCACAGCTCTCTAGCTTTTTCGTTTGAAAAAAAAAATTAGTAAAATTTCGCGCTCGCTTCGCTCGCAAATTTTTTTTTAGAGTTCATACAATTTTAAGGATGTTTTCAATAACAGAAGAAAGCTATTAAAATGAATTAATAAAAATATTTGGGGGGGGGGCCAAAATGATTAATTTCCAGCGGCCTTAAAACGTGAATCTACGCCTCTCATAGTCATAGAATTATTGGTCATCAACGTTTGGCTTGTCCTTGTCCCTGGACACGGAGAGCCGCGGCCCGGCCGGCTGCGGCAAACAGATAAAATTTTATTCATTGTGCCCATACAGATGACATCAAAGTTAAAAAAACCCAATGCCCCAAATATATTTAAACATTTCCTGGGTGCAAATTGATCAAATTTAGTGAACTAAAATTAAATTTTAGGGAACTGCATGAGTGAGTTCATGGGACTGATTAAGGGCAATTACGAAGCCAAGGAGGATGGATTTGCCCCTGGCGGCGCCTCTCTCCACTCGATGATGACTCCCCACGGCCCTGATTACAAGTGTTTCGAAGGCGCCTCAAATGGAGAACTGAAACCAGTGCGAGTTGCTGATGGCACACGGGTAAAATTTAAAAATTATTGTGCAAAATCTGAACGTGTTTTAAAGGCTTTAATTTGTTCGAGTCATCGCTGAGTTTGGCAGTGACCAAGTGGGGAGAGGAAACGTGCCAGAAGTTGGATCACACCTATTACGAATGCTGGCAGCCTTTGAAGAAGCACTTTGACCCCAATTGGAAGCCTCAATAATTTAACAAAAATAATATTAAGAATAAAATAATGGTGGTAGTTCATATATTTACATGAATAAAAACTTGCTCGGATTTGATTTACCATTAACAAAATGATTAGCTTTATTTAATATGTTACAAATATTTATATACGGCCTTTGCACGGTATTATGTATAATTTGATAGCCAAGAAGCAGTATCAACAGAGATTACAATATGATATATACTTTTCCTGAAATATATTTCTGCATCTTTGTCCAATCCTTGAGTTATCCATTACGTTGCTTACCAACTACATCAACAACTAAATTTAAGGAAATAGTTATTGTTTTACCTCTTTGCTAAAATTAAGACATTATAACTCCCTACCGCAAGTTTTACTTTAGCAACACTTCTATACGGTTTGTTTGTTTGTTTTGCGGGTGTGGTAAAGTAAGGATAAAAAATAGAGTGTTGCGTCATTGATTAAAAAACTTTCAGTAGTGTGTGTGTATAATACAGTATAAGAAAAAAAACTGTTGTTAACAGGCATCTTCTGTGCCTCGTTATCTTGTTTTAGTATCACAAAAAGATTTTCTTCCTGTCACGAGTGTGCGTCATGCAACTGTTTCGAAAAATCAGAGTCCAGTAGTTCATCGTTTGCTAAATCTGCTGTACAAAACAAATCGAATATAACAAACTCGTCGAGTCTAAAAACTGAAACCGGCATCTTCCAATACTGCACGTAAAAAAAATTTGCTTTCATTAACAAAACTATGTTCACTCGTCACTGTTTCACCTGCCGAGCAGAAGTCCATTCATTAAAACTTAAAAAAAAGATGAAAATTAAATAATACATTGGGCTGTTATTTGCAATCAAGCGCTATCATGCAAACTTTACGGAAAACATAAGTTCTTGTAAGCCAATGGCACATTTAGCGACTCCCCATTTTCTTTCATTATTTAGTGCTACGAACACTATTGTACACAAAAGAATATTGATTTAAACCCAACCGCCAGTGAGTTTGTGGAAAAGTTCCTCGTTCAAGGTTTGATTTGCTTCTTTAGATCTCATCGAGAGGAAGATGTAGCCACCGATAAACTCGTGGACTACTTTGCAATCTGCCGACAGACAGCTGAAAACTATATTCTCCTCTTCAAACTGCACCATCATGTGCTTGACCTCCCAGTTGACATTCCAAGCCTGAAAAGTGTAATAGACGGATTCAGTATTTAGCAAACAACTTATTTAAGAGGTTAAAAAAATTGTTTCTACCTTCATTGTGTTGTATCTCCAGGTCTTGAGATGGTCTCCGGAGTTCATCTCCATCCTCATTATTCTGTTGAATGCCACGCCGAGCATTTCTTCCTTCTTGTGACCCATGAATTTGACAATGAAGAGGGAAATTCCGTATTCTGGCAGCGACTGCCATGCTTTGATGTAGTTCATCTTGGCCTCGATCAGGTTCAGGTCCTTGACGTTTGCATGGGCTTCAAGGATTCGCTGGACCAGCTGAAGTTTCATAAAAAAAATTAGCTCTTTCATTCAAATTTAAAAAAAAAATCCTTCTACCTTGCTCTTCAACTTCCTTATATATCTTGGTGCAACGTAATCTTCAGGTGTGATGTCCAGACCCAGACCAGCGGGGTTGATGGCCGGAGCCTGTGCTGGATGCTGCATCGAGAGGAAAGCCTGGATGGTTTTTACCTCGTTGTCGTACGTGCTGTCGGCCAAGGTCCTTCCCTTTGAGGCCAGGCGACAAGCGGCCATCCAATTAGCGTACTGCTCCTCCTTTGATTATAAATTTGAAATAAGCATTTAAAATTCTCAGCAATATCAAAATCTTACCCCTTCGCATCTGATCCACATTTCGGACATTCCGTCCGCGCTCGGCACTTCCAATCTGATACCGTATTTGCCCTGGGAGATGTTGACGTCGGGCGTGACTTCACAGCCCCTTAGGTTGATCAGGTGGGCATACTGGGCGCCAGCGTTTGCGTCCTCCCGGGAGCGATAAAGTTCCAATCTCAGGTCACGGCAGGTGAACCAGTAACGCTTGAAGGCGCGCAGAGTGAACCTCTTTGGCCTGTCATAATAGGAAATTGATTAGTTTTCAACAACAGAGTAAATAAAATAATTTACTTGAGGAATCTCATGTATCCTGAAAGCTCTGGGACATAGGTGATATCATTTGGGCCACGGCTGATGTTTGACCCTTCCAGTGTGACCTGAAGGTCGGTGAGGGCAGCATCAATATCATCTTCGTCATTATTTTCCTCGCGCATGGAGTCCTCGAACTGAGGCTGTTTCAGGCCTGCCTGAAGGTTTACTTGGACCTGGAAGGATTTTTAATTGTAACAAGAAAATTGTCTCGAGGTTCTTCTTTTTTCACCTGCAGAGAAGCAAACATGAGCATCTCCTCCTCGGTGCAATCGATTTCCTCGTTGATGATTTGCCACTTTGCCTGCTCAAAGATCTGGTTGATCCTGACCGAGTCGTACTTGGGGTTGAGGTCGTAGAATGAGTAGAACTTAAAGCGCAGGCAAAGGGTGCCGTACTCCCGGATGCCCTGCTCCATGATGGAGAGGGAAGAGTCGAGCCAGGCCACGTTCATTCGCGCCCTCTCGATCAGAGTTTTTGGCCGCAGCAGCTTGGAGCGCGCTTCTGGACTTGGGTGTGCCGGACTGGAGGCCAAAGACGAGTCAAGACTGCCGTTCAAAGCCTCGATGGACAGAACGTTGTTGGAGTAGGTCGAGTCGTTGGACCCGTTGAACAGAGGACCTCCGTTGGTCTGATTGTTTCTCTTCCAAGTGCCAGTCTGTGGACAAAAAATCATTAATTTCAGCTCGACATTTTGACGAATTTATTTTTATTATAAATTAGGTTGCAGGTTTTTGCTTCACTTGACTTGTCATAATAAGTTTGATTGAAAAAAATTTAAACGAATCATCAAATTACTGCAGTATCGAGTTTCAGTGACTCACGGTGTTAAGTGGCGAGCTGATTGGTGTGGTTGCAGCACTGTGGTTATGGTTGTTCCTCGGAGGCGAAACAGGAGCGCACAAGAAGGGCGTCGAGTTGCTCTGCTCCAGCGAGCTGTTTGAACTGTGTGGGTCTGCTGCTGCGATGAAGGTGTTGGTGTCGGCCGGGACGTGGCCGTTCTCGTGCCGCTTGCGAGGCATGTCCTTCAGGTTGTATTTCAGGTGGTTCGGCTCCAGGGGCTTGCAGAAGGAGAGCTCCTCTGGGTGGCGAATTCCTGCAGAAATGCAACAATCATATTTATTTTCTATAATGGTTGATTTTTTTAACATACCAAGCTCTCTGCACAAAGTGACGACGGCGTTGAAGGTCTTGACCGAGAAGTCGACGGTGGCGTCCAGGTAACGCAGGTCTGGCAGTTGGACCCTGAGTCGCTTCTTCATCGGTGTGAAGTGGAGAACGGCGTCTGCACCCACGCCGCACTGGTCCAGGGTGGATCTCGTTCGGAGGAGCCATCTGTTTTTTGTTGGCCACCAAAGGGCGTGTTCTGACCAGTCCATTGTGATCTCTGTAACAGAAATGAAGTAAAAAAAATTAATAAAAATTTATTCTGGGAACTTTCTAAGCTTTCAAATCGATATATGTTTTCTTTCTTGAAATTCAATTTAATTTAAAATAAATTTTTAATTTCCAGTTTTGTTTTAGTTTGCTGAACTTAGAAGCCTTTCTTATTTTACATTCAGTGCTTTGAATGAGTCAAACAATAAAGCGGTAGCAGCTGTCGTCACTGCCCCGTTTAATTACTATTTGGCAAGCATTGTCTGCCGAAGCCGTTGTTTGGCAGGCAGAAAGGGTTGAGCCTTTTATATATTATGTCGTTCGGACCACCCGCATAATTAATGTCCGCTCCGGAGGTGGTCCGATCAGGCGCAATAATTTCGGTGTCGTTCGTCCCCCCCGCCGCGATGGAAATTGGTTTGGCGGCGGCGTCGCCGGCCAGACTGGACTTTTCACTTGACCAGATTTCACACAATTTGCCCGCGAATGAGCTATTTTTGCCTCGGCCTCCTAATAACGGAGCCAACCCAAACTGGGCGCCCCTATACGCAGAACCACCGGCTATTTTAGTGATGCTGCCACTTGAAAAAGTCTCATTTAGAAAATAGAAAGAAAAAAAAAACGCGGCGAGTCAAGTGGCAACCTTTTGAGTTCCGATAGCGATCCATCCGCCCGTTCCAAATATCTTCATCTTGTCTGCTTACAATTTTGATTCATTAGGAGGAACGAAAGCCAACAAACAACAACTCAAAATAAAAGTAACAAAAGAGCTGCACCTCCACCCAGCACCTGCTGTTTTGAGTTTACACCGTGTTTTGTGTCGTGTCTAAAAAAAATGTAAATAATCTGATTCAGAGGTGTGAGCCAACTTAATTTTAGGTCTATTTTTAACTTGAAGTGTTTAAATAATTTTTATAAAACAAGAAAAAAAGCAAGCATTTCAGTCTTTAAAACAATTTAAAATATGAAATTTTGACACTTGTCTTTAAAAATATAAATTTAGAATTCAGAATCCAGATTTTTTTTTATTATTAAAATTTTGTTTGTTGTTTTGACTTTTTAGTTCTTGCTTCATTTCTTACTTAGAAATCCATTACGGACTTTCCGTTTGAGCTTGGAGTTGGAGCGAAATCGAAAATAGTAGCGCTGCATAAACACAGTCTGGATTTAGCCCGGCGATGCATGTGTGATGCAAACGGGTCAGCCGCCGTTGCATACAAAATATTGTTTTCCTCCCTCACAAAACTCCTTCAGCTCTCCCCGCATAATATATATTTTTGGTCCAATTGGCGTCAATCCAAATCTCATTTCTCTTCTCCCTTTCTTCGCTCGCTACAATGAAGCCAATTTTTCACTTCTCGGACGGATAAAGCTGCACGAAGGGGAATCGTAGAAAGTTTTGATCGCGAATGTTTTTGTGCGCGCTAGACGGGTGTGTTGGTTGATAATGGAGTGTCTTTGTGAGAGCGGAACGGCAGATGTGTTTTGAAATGTCATCAGGCTGCAACGCATGCCTGGATGGAGTGCGGAGAGCGCGATAAAAGGTCAAAAACAAGAGCACGGACTGTTCAGCTGCAAAAATTACAAGTTTAAAATATTTGCACAAACACAAATTTCAATGCATAACTGCAACTCCATTAATTTTTTTTTTATAAATTTGCCCAATATTTTACCGCATTATAATTTTATTCAATAATTCTGCAGTTTAGTATTTTGATTGATGTGTCTTTTTTTTGTAGGTCAAAATACTTTTCCTTTTTAAAAAATATTTTAGCTACAAATCTTTCTTCCAGATGTTTCTCTGAATAAAACGAGACTTCCCGGCACTCACGCGACAAATTGGACCGAAAAGGGAGAGACAAGGAGAATCGCTGCGACAGTAAAGTCGATGAGCCGTGAGGGAGTTTTCTCTTTCTCTCTCATTGCACGCTCATTAATCACTCGTCGCCGGCCGAAAACTGGGCATTTATTTTTATCTGCATCCCCCGCCTCAGTGAACGAGCGGCAGCTCGAATAATAATAAAATTTGCTCCTCTCTCTCTTTGAGTGATGACGCGAGTGCACGTCATCCCTCGGCGCATTATCGTCACCCCCGCAGTGAGAAGCAAATTCGCGCTCGGCTCTCAACGAAAAAAAAATCGCGCCGACTTTCCTGTGACCTTGGCGAGGAGAAGGATGGGAAACCGCTTTTGGTAAAAATTTACCTGATTACGGCAGCGGAATCTTGGAATTAATGACGTGTTCGTAATCCATGTAGAGGAAAAACCAGCGCCTTGTGAGGTAACGAAAGGCCAAAGTTCCGAGAAAAAAATTGATGCAATGGATAAAAAATTTATATTTAAATCGAAGCGCCTACCTAAAATCTCGGGCCATAAATTATAATTGGGGCCACAATAAATTTTATTGTGAAAAATGCAGAGAGGGCAATTGAATTTTATTGCATGTGGGTTTTGATGACGATGATAATAATAACTACAAAACTTCTCTCCGAGAGCGGATGCTGCATATAAGTGCGGCTTCATTGGCGCAGAACGTTCGTTTTATTTCTTCATTCTCTCCGATGTGAAGATCGTAAATTGCTCCTTTTTATTTCGCTTCAAAATAAACCAGCGGGTGCTGCAGTGTTGCCGCAAAGAGCAGTTTCTTTTAATGATTTTTCTTACAATTGGCAAAAAGTAATCGTCTTTAATAACAATTTAGCTCCATTGACAAAGTATTTTTGTTTTACCGAAACATTAAATAAATCCATTGTAAATTTATATTTATATTTTGCCAACTTCATTAAATAATATGAAGCTTTCATTAGCAAAAAATGTACAAAATTTCCATAAAAATGAATGCCGTAATAAAAATTAAGGGTTTTGACGTTAATAAAAACTAAATCATCCTTGGAAATGAACTATAAAAATGATTAATAGAGAAATAAATTGTCATAAAAATTCACTCAGGTCAATTTTTATCTCTTGAGAGTACATTTAATTACGGGTTTGATGTTGTGTATAAACAAAATTGCCCAGAAGAGATCATAATTTTACTGAGGAAACCTTTTAGAGTGTTCATAAATTTGATAAGAATTGTGTTAAGCAGTTAAATTAACCGCAATTTCGGAGCTGAAAGCATTCAGGTCGAATCGCTTGCTTCTGAAAAAAGCAACGAAAACACCTCTCCGCGCAAAACTGTGTCACGGCTGGCCACATGTAATGGACCGTCTCTCTCTCGGTCTCTCGGAGACATTCCGGTCGGATTCCGCGCGTTTCCATTCGCGCCGTTCGAGCGGCCGGACGCGCAATTTAATTAATTGCGCGACGGTGCAATTATGTACTTGCCGGCGACACTCGGCTCGCCCTATCAGCCAGCGCACCCACCACCGCAAAATGAGGCCGCCGGCGACGTAAATCATACGAAAAAAAGCTAGGGCGTTGGTGGATGTCACCTTTGTCCTCCAGAACGCGAAGGAAAGAACGCCGACCGCACTCGTGACTCAGGACCGCGGTCACTGCAGCCGCGGCTGAAACGAAATACGCGGCTATATATGTATGTAAAGTACAATTTTCCTTGAGAGCAAAAGTAATGGATAATGAGTCAGTCGCGGCCGATCGGTGCTGCATGACGCGATCCAATGAATAAGAAAGACTTGAAGATTGCGTAATTCAAATGGTTATTGTTCAGAGTCACTGAAGTGAAAATAAAATCTAATGTTAAATCAAATTTTAATTTTAATTATATAGGAAATATTTTAATTATCTTGAGATTAAACGGCAATTCAATTTCATAACAATATCAATTGAATTAAAAATTAGACCCTTTGTTTTTATTTGGATTTTGAAAAAAAATTCGCTCATTTTCAAATTTAATTTTTTACATAATTAAAATATTCCCTAATTTAACTTTTTCCAGTTGAATCAACTGCTGGACAATCAAGTTCGGCGAACACACGAAGGTTGATGCGGATGATTAACATTCTCGGCGACCTTCTGGTTCCGAGTCTAAAAATATTGGCAACTGTGCGGCTGCAACGAGCTCAAAATTAACGGGTCATCTGTGCGTTTGTGGCCGCGGCAGTTGACCGCAGCGAGGCCAGCTGAATTAAACTCATCTGGTGGGACGATGACGATGCTTTTCGACTCCCACGCAGGTTGAGAAATATAAATAAATTGTGCTGCCGGGACCTTGCCTCAGGCAAGGAGAACTTATAAGGAATAAGAGAGAGACGAATGGAAAGAAAAGGCATCAAAGGCCGTTCCAGCAAATCGTGCGGCCAGGTGGTATTTAAAAGAGCGACCGATTTATTTATTAGCTCGAGAGAAGGTTTGTCTCAACTATTATGAGTTTATTGGCGACTTGTTGCTGCAATTACGAGGCATAAATTAGGAAATGACTGGTTTCGCGGCGTTCGAACTGACAGAGCAATTGAATTTTCTAACCACTTGAAACAGTGATGATAGGGTGCGATTTATTGCAGTGAATTTATGAATAAATTGCTTTGTGAATGAATAAAAGAGACGAGCTTCAATTGGCAAATTAAATGAAAACATTTTGAATAACAGTTTAAAATTTAATAGTTTTATTTTACTGTTTTTATTTTTATAATTATATATTTTATTTTTTATTATTTTTAAATATTATATGTACTTCAATTTTTCTTATTAATTTCTTCAATTGAAATCAAAAGTAATTAAGAGGAACCGTCATTTTTTTTGTCTCAATTAACACGATATTTAATTTAGAAATTGTCACGCTAATGAATTCAAAGATCAGCGTTTCTCGTTGGAATTCACGTCAAAAATGCAACGCGTTGGCACTTCGTGCTCAAACGACGAGATTAGAAAACAAACAGCCTGTCGTTGAGTCGAAAACGCGAGAAAAAATGTAGGTAAGCCGACGGAAAAGCAGTGGACACGGCGGCAGAGCAGATGCGCCGTATTTGGCGCGGGCACCGTTTTTCACATTTCAGTGCGGCAGGTTGGAATGGAATGCGCGCACCACGCACATTTTATTCCGATCGTACAT